TCTCACCGCCCGGGGCACCCCTGGGGACCTGCCCAGCCAGTTTCCCTCTATTTGCCACACTGACATTTAATTTTTAATTCCTTGTATGCGTCACCCTGGGGTGGTTTGATTCAGACGAGGGGAGGGCAAGAGGGAGCCCCAGAGAGAAGGACATGCTTCCCGCTACTGGCTGTCTGATCAGCTCAGCTCTGGAAAGCTTGGGCACCGTTCTGGTTCGAGCCCTGGGTCTGGCCTCCCCTCAGGGGTAGCAGTCAGGGGACACAAAGGATCCTTCCTCCACTCAGCCCAGGCCCGTGGGGGTGTGGACAGGACTGGATTGGGGGGGTCCAGTCCTGGACTGGATTGGCTCAGGTCCCATTTCTGCCTCTACTGAGCTGTGTAACCTACGCAGGGCCCTCCCCTCCCCAGGCCTCAGTTTTCTCTTTTTTAAAAAAACATTTAATTAATTAACTTATTTTTTAGAGATGGAGAGCGAGCAGAGGAGGGGCAGAGAGAGAGAGGGAGACAGAATCCAAAACAGGCTCCAGGCTCTGAGCTGTCAGCACAGACCCTGATGCGGGGCTTGAACCCATGAACAAGAGATCACGACCTGAGCTAAAGTCGGATGCTCAACTGACTGAGCCACCCAGGTGACCTAGGTTTTCTCATTCTGATGAGTGCCAAGGTCCTCCCCAGTTCTGGGGTTTGGTGATTTTTTTTTTTTTTTTTTTTGAGACACAGAGAGTGAGCGCAAATGCAGGAGGGGAATACAGAGACCGAGAGAGAGAGAGAATCCCAGGCAGGCTCCACACTGTTAGCACAGAGCCCAGTGTGGAGCCAGAACAAACGAACTATGAGATCATGACCTGAGCCGAGGTCGGACACTTAATGGACTGAGCCCCCCAGGTGCCCCTGAAGTTTGGTGATTCTGACCCAGCTAGCTCAGGGCAATCAGAGCCAGAAGCGTGGTGGCTGGAAGACCCACCCCTTTTGAACAGTAGAAGCGGAGCTCAACCAGTGGTCCACGTGTTGTGAGGGGCCTGGCTTCTTGTGGGGGGCCTCTTGCATCTCCATTAGGAGTTACTTTAACACAGCAAGTCATGGTGGGGGAGCCCCCGAAGGACCATGTGTATGTATAACCCCTATTAACGGGTGAGGAGCCAGAGGCCCAGGGAGAGGCAGGGCTTGGCCCTCAGCCACCCTGCAGCCCGGTGGCGGAGCCCAGACCAGTGTTGCCAGCTACTCGAGGATCACTTGGGTCCCATCCCAGTCACCCAGGGATCCGGAGGTGCTTTTCATAGCTGGCCTTTGGCTGCCAGCTGCCTGAGAAAGTATTCCTTCGTTCTCGGCCCTTCCACCTCAAGTAGAGTGAGGGAGCTCCAGGAAGAGCTTGGGCCTTGCTTGGCCTGTCACCTGGTTTCTCTGCCTCGCGCCTCCCCTGCCCAGGGGTAGCCCGGCCTGGGAGGTGCTCCCTGAGTATGGGAAGGGAGGCTAGGGAGGGGTGAGGCCCGCCTGGCCAGGCCAGTGTCAGGCCGAGCTCCCCACCCACCTCTGCCTGGCGGGGCTGTGGGGGCAGGCTGTGCATGCGTGTGCATCTGTGTGTGAACCCCACACCCCCAGGGACCTCTGTCCTCCTGTTTCTCATTCTCGAAGCCTCCTGTCCCAGCTGGAGGAAAGCAGAGGACTGGCTCAGAGCCTAAGGGAGGGAAGTTGGGTGCCCCTCAATCCAGGAGCAGATGATGAAAGATGTTGAGGCTGTTCTGTTATCTTGTGACCTGAATCAGGAGCACCGGGATGTCCCCAGGTTACAAGCCCTCAGGTCAAGAGGTCCCAATCTAAAGGTTCATCATATGTGGGCTTCCTGGGGCCCGACAGGGGCCTCTTCTGAAATTGTAAGCAGAATTGCAGATATGTGGCCCATAGCCTGGTCTCCAGCCCACCCGAGGCCTCCAGGGAGTCGGTGACCCCAAAGAGGCAAGAGCCCATGGTGTCCAGCAGGCCCCAGAGAGGCAGGCAGGGGAGGGATGTAGGTGCATCTGCAGACTGGTGTTGGGAGAGGAGAAAAAAACTTCTAGATTGTGAGTGGAGGGGAGAATAGGATGCCCTGAATAGAACTTGAATCCTGGAGCCCCGCTGTGGGGCTCCATATCTCAGCTTGGCCACTCATGAGCTGTGTGACCCTAAGCAAGTTACTTGCCCATTCTGCTCTCCAATTCTCCATCTGTAAAATGGGAATTAATAACAGCGCCTTCCTGTTAGGTTGGCTCTGTTGACTCCGTTAACACACCTGAGGCACTTGGAACGATGCCTGGCACACACTAAGTGCTCCGTGCGGGTTGGCCACGATTACGTGGCCATGGGACCTTCAGCTGGGACTCAAGGGGAGGAATGAACTTCCACTTTTGGGGTTGAATTCTTGCCTCTGTGAAACGAGGCTGGTGTGGGCCCGATGAGACCTTTTCTGTCGTCAATTCATGCCTTTCATTCTCTTGTCCTCACCAGCAAGGGGGTGTGGATTTGCTGGGGAGACCCCCCCACCCCGCCCCCCGCCCATCTCCTGATTGACTTAGGCTTGCCTGGAGGACTGGCCCCTAGAACGCAGTCTTGGATCTCCGGGCCTGACCAGCCAGCCAAGCCCACTCCAGGGTCTCCCCCTCCTCCTGCCCTCCATCAACTCCCCCACCCCACCCCCCACCAGCCTTCCGCTCAGCTGGGGTAGTTCCCTCCCTCCCGCCAGGGCCCAAACGAGAAGAGAGGCGGGCAGAAAGGCTGGGACACACCCTTATTAGTGAAGGGGCTGGAAGTGGGTGGGCCGGGTAGAGGATTTCAGCCAATCAGAACAAACTGAGTGCTCAGCATGTACTAACCCCTTAATGGCTGGAGCCACTCAAGGGCAACAGCCGTTAATTTCAGTATTTTAACAATCAGCCCTGGGCCCACACCACCGTAATTCTGAGTATGTGTCTTGCGGCTAGGTGAGGGGAGAGGATCTAATTCACCGTCAGCAACGGAAAATCCCAAAATTATTTCATCTGCATTTATGGAGGCAATGACCTCTGTAAACAGTTTTATGCATCTCTGGAAACATAGAGGCTGACTCATTTGCTTTATACCTTTTTGTTGGTGGTGTTGCACTTGCTATATTTGTCTGTAACGTCCACACGTTGCAGAAAATAAATTACCTAAAGTTGTATTCCCAGAGGTCTGTGTGCTCAGCCCTCCACATACAGGCGTTGGGGATGCAGCAAGGAGGATATAAGATGCGGTCTCTCCCATTGAGAGTCTCAGGGTCGGGTTGGTGAGGTTGCACAAAACCAAAAAAATCAGGTGATGGAGAGAGAGGTAGCTGGCCAGGAAATGTTAGCGATCAGATGCCTTATTAGTCTCCGTGGCAGGAATCCTCATGGTCCCCGGTGGTAATATCCTAACCAGGAGCCAGGCCTGACAGACAGGAGTGAACCTCGAATACATGGGGGGCTGACTGTTTAGACTCTAGACCTGGGCTGCCTCTGGCCACAGAGAAATGTCACTAGTCAGAACTGGGATGCACATATTCTTTTTTTTTTTAGGTTTATTTATTTTGTTTTTGTTTTTTTTTAATTTTTTTTTTAATATTTTTTATTTATTTCTAGGAGAGAGAGAGAGACACCGTGAGCAAGGGAGGGTCAGAGAGAGAGGGAGTCACAGACTGAAACAGGCTCCAGGCTCTGAGCCGGCAGTCAGCACAGAGCCCGACGCGGGGCTCGAACCCACGAACCGCGAGATCATGACCCAAGTGAAAGTCTGACGCTTAACCGACTAAGCCACCCAGGCGCCCCTATTTATTTATTTTGAAAGAGAGAGTGTGCATGAGCCAGGGAGGGGCAGAGAGAGAGAATCCCAAGCAGGTTCCACGCTGAGAGCAAAGAGCCTGACGTAGACCTCGAACTCACAAACCGTGAGATCATGCCCTGAGGGGAAACCAAGAGTGGTGGCTTAACTGAGCCACCCACCCAGGTTCCCCATGTTCTAAGTGCAGTACATCAGGACAAAGACTTAGTGCAAAAAAAATGAACGTAAAACATCTCAGTAGTATTTGTTAACACCAATTAAATGTTGACATGATGATCTTTTGAATATATTGGATTAAGTAAAATATATTATTAAAATGAATCTTGCTTATTTCCTTTTACTTTCAGTGCAGCTGCTAGAAAATTTAAAATGACCTATGGGGCTCGCGTTTTATTTCTATTGGACAGTGCTGCTCTCCACTGTCCCAGAAAACCCAGGAATGTGTATCACAGCAAATAAAAACAGGCAGCAGTTATTTGGAATCTATCTCCCTTAACAAAAAAAAAAAAAAAGAAGAAGAAGAAGAAGAAAAAGAAAAAGAGCCCAATCACGGCTCCAGAAGGGATTTTTTAGTTTCCTGCGATTTCAGACCCACAAACAATTCTCTCCCAAATGCCCTTCTCCCAAGGGTCACTGCTATTTGTCCTTTAAGACAGCTCAGGTGTTCCCTCTTCCAGGAAGTCCTCCTGACCACCCCTTTGGCTGGATTGGCTGCCTGTTCTCTGACCTATGTTCCAACAGTCTGTTTACTCATTCGTGTCCTTCCCTGAGAGCTGTTAGGGCCGGCTCGGTCATCTCTGCATGCCTCCATCCAACGCACTGGCTCCCACGCAGCAGGCAGTGGTCGATGCTTGCAGAACATGAATACGAATCCTGCTTAGCTAGAGGTACCCGTTGCTGAGTTGCTGCTGCACACAAGTTCCCCATAACCTCTCCTTGGGTTTCAACAGGGGGTGAGCAGACCCACCCGCCCCAATCTCAGCCTTCCTGTCATGAATCTCAGCCACGCCTCCTCCCAGGAGCCACCCTGGGTTGGCAGCAGGAAGGAAGAGAATGGACAGAGCACGAAGCTGATGTCCACTTGGATCAGGGCAGGTGGGGCTGCCTCGCCTGTGGCAGCCGAGACGGCCCGTCCAGAGCAGACCCCCACACCCCCACACCCCCACAGCCCAGCGCAGAACCCTACTCACCAGTGGGAGGAAGGTCAGCAGGGGCCGAACTCTGGGCCGAGCTTTCAGTGTGGCTGTCCCCGACTCACTCACAGAGTCAAACCGATTGTCTCCATAATAGATCCCACCTGGAGGAGACAAGTGCAGCGTGAGCTGGAGATCAAAGGCATGTGGGACAACTGAGTCAGCCTGCCCCGCAGTTCCGAGGGCTGAGAGCCAGGGCCTGCGCTTGGCCCATCTGACTCAGCCCGGCGCCTCTTACGTAACAAGATCCTGCCGGTGGGGTGGGTGCTAATGGGGCCACAGGAAGGCAGGTTGGGATGGACTCCGGGGAGCCTTTTCTTGGGGTGTCCTGCAGCGAGCATTCCCAGCTTTCAGTCCCCAGCAGCACGTCCCTGCTGACCCCCCTCTGCAGCTCCTGAATCTACACCTCCACAAGCTGTCCCCATTTTAGGGGCCCCAAGAACATGGCCAATGCCCCAGCCAAAGCTTATCACTGAGCGAGAGAGGAACACAAGGTGGCTTTTCTCTCAAGTGTTTGAACTTCTAATCTGGAACAAGCAGAGCAGGTAAGGTCACCTGCTGTCCCCAGAGGCCCCAGCAACCCACCTTCTGGACTCTTCTCACACAAGATTTCCTTAAGCCCCCAAACCACCGAGGGCAGGGCAGAAAGAGGGGGACAGTAGGGCGCATGTGACCTAGTACAAATCCCAGCTCGGCCACTCTCTGGCAGTGGTGTTTAAGCTCTCTGGGCCTCAGTTTTCCTATCTGTACAATGGGAGTGATGTTAGTGCCAATCTTACAGGACTGTTATGAGGAGTTATTGTGGACAATAGATAGTAAGTGTTCAACAAACACGGTGCCTTCCCCTGTAGAAAGACAACGTAAAGAACTTTCTCTTCCTCTAGTTTCCGGGTCTGTGTTCTGGGCTGTTTCTACAGTAGTGGGGAGGGTGTGAGAGGCCCTTCATACTTTCTCAACCAATCTTCCTCATGACCCTTCATGCTCATCAACAAGGATTTCACATCCTGTCCCAGGTTCACACTGTCACCTCCTAGAAGCAGGGGTCCCTGTGGACCCCCTACTCTGTTGGTCATGGGCAAGGAATGCTGTCACCCATTTAACGGGGCACCATTTCTGTTCCTTTCATAGCCAAAGGGAACAGAGAAGAAAGGTCAAAATCCTGAGCAACCAGAATCCTGTAACTGGAACATTGAACAAATCGTGATTACTTTTCCCTTTGCATGTGACTTTAGGAACAAATTGCAAGAAAGCCAAAAGATTTATTCAAGAAAGACTGGGCTTCTCAGGAGGGGGTCCCGAGATCAGCCTACATTCACCCCAGATTCCAACACCTAGAGCCATAGCCTTGTCTCTATGTGAGGATCTGGGTTTTGAATGTGACATAAAGCCTCTTGAGAACTGGGACTGGATGCAGAGCCCTCTGGATGCCATCCTATCCAGCAGAGAGCGGCTGGTACACTCAAGGTTCTCCACGTCCTAACAGGGGCCAAAATGGTGAGTTCTCTGTGCGCTCCGCATGCACGTCACAGAAACACCGGTTCCCAGAAATGCCCTGCCCCGAGCCCTCCAGGCAGACATAGCTGTCTATTCCCGACCAGGCTCCCCACCTGAGACCCGAGATCAAGACACCAGGGAGCAGGTGGGGGAAGAAGAGGAGAGATAAGTGTGCAGATGTGGCCCAATCAGAAACCGCAGAAGTAGAGATAATGGGAAAACTCAACAGCCACCACTAAAGCCCGCCTGATTCTCTCTGGCTTCCGAGAATATGGGTGTTGCCACTAGGATCTCCTGGGACATTCCCTAGATAGCTCTGTGTGGACACCAAAATCCTAAATTCCACGTGTGTGACATGGCTGCCAGGCTGACTGTCTAGCCCCGTGTCAAGCTCTGTGCTGCTGGCGATTCTGTGTCTCATCCTCTCTCTGCACTTATGTTCTGTTTCTCTCTGTCTCTCAAAAATAAATGTAAAAAAATTTTTTAAATAAAAACATAATACTAGGTAAAACTTATTAAGCAATTTTATTTATTTTTTTAAATGTTTTTATTTTTGAGAGAGAGAGAGAGAGACGGAGAGAGAGAGAGAATGAGCAGGGGAGGGGTAGAGAGAGGGTGACAGGGAAATCCCAAGCAGGCTCTGCACCCAGCCCGATGCGGGGCCTGAACCCACAAACCGTGAGATCATGACCTGAGCTAAAACCAAGAGTCAGATGCTTAACCAACAGAGCCTCCCAGGCGCCCCTTACTGAACAATCTTAATGGGCCTGGCACTGTTCTAAGTGTATTGCACATTATTAATTCATTCAATTTTTTTTTTTAATTTTTTTTATTTATTTCTAGGAGAGAGAAAGACAGCGTGAGCAGGGGAGGGTCAGAGAGAGAGGGAGACATAGACTCCGAAAGAGGCTCCAGGCTCTGAGCTGGCAGTCAGCACAGAGCCTGACGCGGGGCTCGAACCCACGAACCGTGAGATCATGACGTAAGCAAAAGCCGGACGCTCAACTGACTAAGCCACCCAGGCGCCCCTCATTCATTCAATTTTAAAAACAGTTCCATGCAATTGGTACAATCCTCACCCCCATTTAACAGGTGAGGAAACTGGGCCATAGAGAGGTCTAATAACTTGCCCAAAGCCTCACAGTAAGTGGTGAAGCGGGGGTTTCGGTTCCAGGGCTGATCTCTGAACAGTTCCATGCACCGCTTCCAGAGTGGGGAATCCTAATCCTGCAGGTACTGGGTGTGGATGGGAGGATGGACTGTAAGGGGCAGGGGGCTATGTGACGGTAAGGGGGGCTTGGCTGTTACCAGGGAGCAGCTCGGGGGTGGGGCAGGAGCTGAAGCAGTCTGCCCCCCGCCATGCCCAGCCCAGGGCAGAGCCCAATCCGACCCCCACGCGGGCTCTGGCACAGACGCTCAAACCAGCTCATAGATTCCATGGCTCTAACGCCACCTCACAGATCCCATGACTCAGCCCTGACCGGGAGGCACTGTTGGCTCTGTCTGGGGTTGTTTTCAGCAGGGGGATCCCTTTCTAAAAATACAGTTATTTTCTGGAAAACGGATCAGAGGCAAGTGCTGGACTGGGGCGCTTCTTGGAAATCCACGTGGCTTCCCCAGTTCTCAGAAGTGTGCCTGGGGTTCAGGGTGGGACGTGTGGTGACAGAAGCAGAGTGCGTGGTGTGATGTGGCAAAGACTCCACCGGCCACTGCCAGCTTTGAAGATGGAAGGGGCCGCAAGCCAAGGAATGCAGGCGGCCTCTCGAAGCTGGAAAGACTGAGAAGACAGGCTCCCCTCCACAACCTCCAGGAAGGAACAGAGCCTTGCAGACACTTTAATGTTAGCCCAGGGAGGGGCGCCTGGGGGGCTCAGCCAGTTAGGCGTCTGACATCAGCTCCACGCATGATCTCGCGGTTTGTGGGTTCGAGCCCCGTGTCGGGCTCTGTGCTGACAGCTCAGAGCCTGGAGCCTGCTTCGGATTCTATGTCTCCCTCTCTCTCTGCCCCTCCCCTGCTTGCACTCTGTCATTATCTCTCTCAAAAATAATGAACATTAAAAAAAAAAAAAAAGAATGTTAGCAGGGAGACCACTGTCAGACTTCTGACTTACAGAACTTAAGATAATCAATGTATGTTGTTTTAAGAAAAAAAAAAGGGGGGGTTTGTGGCTAGAATCGGACAGACTTTCCCTGGCCCTTCATACCTGGGCTCAGTTCCTGCCTGGTAAAGGCACGCCAGCAGGTGAAGCCAGAGTGGCCACCACCATGAGCTAGGTCCTCCACGAGTTCAAGGTCAGGGCTAGGACTTTCCAAGCCTCAAGATCAAGGTCCAAACTAAAAAGAAGGACAATAGAGTCCAGCTTGGGGGATTTTCCTATGGAAGTAAAGGAACTCGGCTCTAACCACAGCATCGGGGATGCTCGAGTGGGCTTTCCTGAGAAGCAGCCCCTTCCTCCATTGACCAGATAGAGGGCCAGGCCACCTCTTCAAGAAGGAAGGGAAAGCGACGAGGTGAAGGGAGTCTGAAAGAGGAGGCTGGACGACTTGTCCTCTGAGGACACGATGAACGTGCTCAATAAGAAAAGATGCCATCCTAGTGTCTTGTCCACACTGAAACCTGGAAGCTCCCTCTGTCTGTCTTTTTACTCGATTCCCCTTGGGGACCGCGGAGGTCACAGCCCGGAGACACACCTGAGGAACATCCCAGCGGGACTCAGAAGCCAGGGAAGTGGAGAGAGCCATTATGGAAGCTTCCAGAGAAAGGGGGCACCTTTGGGAAACCCCGGGAGCAATTCCAGTAGCCAGGAAGCCTTGCGGGACCCTGGGAGCAGGGTTCTGAGCAGAGCCTGAGGCCCAGGTGGACCACAGCCCTGTCCAGATACAAACACGCCTCTGCGTCTGGCAAACTCCTCTGAAGAGACTGGAGTGATAAAGGAGGAAATTCCCCTCTGCCTCCAGGGCCCGAACTCCATCATTAAAACAGTCCCAGCTTCCCACCAAATGAAAGCCTCTCTCTAACAGGATTGTACACAGGATCCCTTTGCATTTGGTTACATTTCTCTCTCACAGATTGACGGGAAACAAAGGCAGCTTTTCATCTACACTTCCTCAAGGATTTGAGTTCACATAAAAACCGCCCAATATCCAAAAACCTGGTTCAAAAATAACTCTTGGTGGCCACACCTGTTTCAGCAGGAAGAGTTCCCCTCAGACATCAGCCTGGGGACGGCAGCTCCCCTCTCCATAGCCCCCCCCAGGAGACTCCCACCCTGTTGTTGGGTCGAAGGAAATTTACATTGTGGCTGAGGCTGCCTGGGCTCCGAGGAGGCCAAGGCAAGGCAAGGAGACACTCAGGCCACAGCTCCTCAGCTGGGAGGGAAGGCAGGGTGGTGTGGGGTCCAGGCTGCGGGGTTAGTGCCCAGCTGAACAGGAGTCCGGCCCCTGCTCCATCACTTATTAACTGTGGGGTCCTGGTCATGCTACTCAGGCTCTCTGAGGTAGCTTCCTCATCTCTGCAAATGTGAGTAATGGTTCCCCCCGGCTGGGCTGCGGTGAGGCTGAATGACAGATGAGCGGTGTAACAGGCTGGCACAGCGCCTAGCAGATCATTT